TGCCCAAAATCAACCAAGCTACAAAAGATAAAAATTGCTAGGTTCGGAAACCTACAGGAGACGGAGGCATCCATACCGACTGACAAGAAGAAAACGATCAAACCAAAGTCTAACTCCAACGCTCTAACCACACCAACATAACCAGAACCACCCTAGAAGCTCCTTCAAATGATATCGAAGGTCAATAATCGAATAAGCTGACAGTCCATACCAAACAAGAACCAACCGGCCACCCTGAACAAGAGCCGACCGAAGTTGTTTTAACCGACCTATCTGGTGGCTACCGAGCGATAGTTTCAGACAAACAAAAAGACTAGAATATCATGTACAACCCCTCTAAAGCAGAGGTAAAACATGTAATTTTACATATTGTCCTCTTATCTCCTATAAATAAGACTCCATTGTGTATTACGAGCTTTTTTTCCTTCTTTTAGTGGTCACCCCCTCTTTGTAACCCAAATCTTCAATAATATAAAATGGGTCATAAAAGCCTGTGAATACCCCAGTTTGTCTCAAAGGGCGAAGTCGCTATGCAATTGTCTCCTTTTTCTCTATTTTCCTTCTCCCTTAGTTACTACGTTTTATTCTTTGAGTGTGTCTTCCCAAGATAAACACAGATTCAACATAATTAAATACAATCTCCCGTTTATTCCAAAAAGAAAAAACCAAGTTCTAATTACAGGCTTAAATTTACATGTTCAACAAACAGTACAAAGTGTAATAAACTCAGTTAGCAAAGCAGAAAATTAGTAAACTGCTAACTATAAACAAATTTGAGTTGACAAATCTCAGCGTTTACTATAAAACTCAAAAGAGAGAATACAAAGTTGTGAAGCTGAAATTGAATAATTTGGTTTAGAAGTAAGCTTTGCTATGAGAAAAACGTGCAACCTTTAATTCAAACAAATAAATATAAATATATTTTTTAAAGAAAAACAATAATTTATGCCTCCCTTGATGCGCCATGGTGACCTTCATGAACAAATAAGCTTAGAACCTCAATCACTATGGGTACGAATGCGAACAATTTTGTTGATAAATTGCCTTTCTCGGCGATAGCTGTTTTCAGGTTTCAGCCAAAAAAAGAAGCAACAGTTATTTAGATCAAAAGATAGAAATCTGTAGCTCGTATTCATCGCTAAAGTTCCAAACGCAGTTAAATATAACTTGAATACAATAGATAAAGACGCTCGGGCTCATTTGGCGGGTTGTAGAAAGGAAATATATTTTTAAATTATTATTTATTTCGTTTTCACTCGGTTTGACTCCGAAATATGAAATAATCACTTTCGAAGCATGATTAAAGTGTTTGTTTATTTCAAAAATTATATTAACCTTTGAAAGAATTTACATACATTACCACTCAATTCTTATGTATTTCCACATCTACCATCTAAAATTCAATTTTTTATATATGACACCCTATCTAGGGATGAAAAGGTGTATTTCACGATTTAAAAGTTAAAATAGAGGCCCTTCTGATGTGATAAAAAAATTTGGGTGTTATAAATGTGAATAGCAAAGTTTAGAAGTTAGTAAATACATAGGAATTGTGTGGTATGTATGTAAATGCCCCTTAATTAAATCTAACCAAATGATAGAACCTAAAAATTCAATCCTTCTTATTATATATTTTCAAGCTTCCTAAGGAACCAACTGGGCCCTTATGGATCAAAATTTTGATAGAGTAATTACAGCAAAATAACACATAGAAGAAAGCAACACATACATGACAATGGCAGAGATGCAGAAGCACAAGACGCCAATAGAAAGATGAATCAGAAAAGAATGCCAGAAGTTTTCCCTGTCTAAAACCATTCTCTCAGAGATGAGTGTTACTGCACCAGAAAGAAGCAATACTATCCAGCCTGATGGCAAGCTTTGAAGAAAGGAAAATGAAGATCCCTGCATAAATAAAAATAATAAAAAACAAATAAGAAACATAATGATAAAGTGTAAATAAAACAAGAATATGAGAATACATGATTACATACCTTGAAGAAACGACTTATAAATACTGCAGAGTATGTAATTCTCAAAATCATATCTTCAATCGGTCAAGGAATCACGTTAAAAGGAGCATTTTCATCTCATGACATCAGAAGGAAGTAATAAATTCATTCATTCGAACATTCTAATGGAATATTTATCAGTTGTTGCACAAATTTATACTCATAATTAATACAGATATTATTATTATTATTATTATTCCAAAGCACTGTATAAAAAGCAAATAAAAAGCTACAATGAATATACCAAATAAGACTTTGGAGTCTGTTTGGAATAATTTTTCGCTCCTTTCCTTCTAGATCATTGCCATGTATTTGTTTAACTATTGCTTTCTTGGACATTTTTATAGTGGAAAGCATACTTTAAGAATCAAATCTACAAAAGTGAGGTAGTTCTACGAAAACTACTGTCTGACTTTAAGAAAAAAATACCGCACAACAACTTCACAATCACCTTTATAGAAGGCTACAACAACCCCAAATGAACCCATTTATGTAAATGCATGAAAAAGACCTGATTCCACATTGACCAATAATACTCCCCGCCTATCAACGGTTCTACAGAGCACAAAAAAATAATTTCAAGTATCACGGCGCAAGCATCTATCACCAATATTTTACAACATTACCACATTGTCCATCTTAGACTACATTTTTAACAAAAAATAAAATAAATGATAAAAAAAAATTACAGATTTTTTGTCTGTGAACAATTCAATGACTATAGTCTAATATTACTTCAAATTTTAAATAATAGGCAGGTGGTTAGAAAGGCGTTGTAGCGCAAGTCAAATTTACACAAGTATTTATAACTATTTTTTAAAGATAATCACCGTATCATATACCTCTCTTCTGGAGGGATCATAGAAAGGATACTTATTGAATTGGCGACAATTAGACCAAAAGCTCCAGCAGACCGCACCAAAATAATATTAAGTATAATATATATTCAAGAAAAAAGAAACAATGAAAGATTTGATTGTATTAATTGACTTTCATTGGCAACAGCATGCAAAAATGCTTCAGATGTACCTGCATCACAATATTAAAATATTAAATTCAATATTAAATCTATGAAAGTGAATAAGTCAATAAATAAGTAGCAGGAAATTTCAAGATAAGGCTGTGCAGCAGTAAAGCAATGTTTTCGGAAGAATTTAAAAGATGTTACAAGAAGTCTCCACTTCACAGCTAAATAAGTAGCAAGGCAGCACATAACCAATAGTGGCAAAGAACTCTGAAAATTTATTAAATGAAAAAAATAACAAAAGCATTAATAGATATTAAACATTGGCAAAAAACTTTTAGTTACCCTTCCAACTTGTCTTGAATTTGAATCATCATTTTTGTCAGCAAGAAAACTAAAAAGAAATGCATATCAAAAAAGTGCCAATATATATATATATATAGCGATTGAAGACTATGGTAATTCTATGTTAGCCACATCCTAAAGTAACAAAAATACATCCTGCTAATTTCCTCCCTCTCCACAAACGAAAATTAATTTTTGACCGAAAATTAGAATCCAATGACGTGTTTTGATAAATTCCCTCACTTTATCCAACAGATAATTGGAAATATAAATGCCACTATACGAAAAAAAAAGGTCAAGACGAGCAGAGACTTGTAACTGAATCATTATTTATATTATGTTTTGATCATGAATTTTCTTATGACAGCACGAAAGCAGGATCAGGAATTGTAAGATTCTGCTAAAACAACAAAAATACCATCTGATTCCCATGTATTTACATATCTAACACTGAAACTTAACATTTTACAATTATAACACCCAAATTTCGAATTACATCAAAATACATCAATTTTGACTTTTAGAAAGTGAAATACACCTTTTTTATGCATAGGTAAGGTGGCATGTATGTAAAAATTGATGTTTGGGTGTTAGATATGTAAATAACTACAAATTGAGTGGTATGTATGTAAATCTTCCCAAAAAAATAAGAAAGAACAAATGTCAGCTAATAAATTTTCTTTCTCCAGCATTTGCTTCTCCAAAATGGAGTAAGAACAAGCCTTATGATATGCCCTAGAAATCATTCGTAATATCAATAGAAAGAGCAAAACAATCACTCAACCTACAGTACAAATTAATAATGGTGTACGTTCAAAGGTTCAAAAAAAAAAGGTAATTTCTAGATTATGCCTTCAGAATAGTGCCTATAAAAGCAACACGGGAATTAAAGTAGGAACAAATGAACCAGACCACTGCAATCCCTTTAAAAGTTAGAAATGTTTATTCACACGTCACTAAATTTTACCTTATTAAATAGCGAAACTATGTGATTTTCGTGTGACAATCAAATCATGGAATTTGACAATAATGAAAAAATAATTTGATTGAGATTTTTTTTTTTTTTTTTTTTTTTTTATTAGAAGTTGAGTTATAAAATTTGGTTTAAATATAAAATTTTTGAAAACTATAAATACAAAATGACACAGAGAATCTTAGAGAATAATTTGCAACGCTATAAGTTCTGTTTTTAATTTTTTCTATAATACATTAGATACTAAAAAAGTGAAAAATATATGTATAAATCAGTCAAACAAAGAGAAAAGAAAAGTAAAAATTTAATTCAAATAAAGCGTATTAAATATGAAAATCAAAAAGTATTTTTTCAGAGGAAGATATTCAACATAGGTGGATGACACATATTGATAAATTTTTCAATGAAATTTTCTAGAAATAAGATCAACCTCAGTGATCTTAATACCGTTAATAAAATAAAACTTTATATTTTTATCATCGCATTAGTAAAAAAAAAGTTGATGAGGCTTTAAAGAAACCAATGATAGAAAATCAGTAGAATCTATTGATATCCCAATTGAAGCGTGAAAATATTTAAGAAATTTGGGAGTTTTTTGGCTACTAAACTCTTTAATATTATTTTAAAAACTAAAAAGATGTCTGAGCGGAGGAAGAGCATTTTGGCCCCCTTTTTTAAGAATAAAGAGGATGCAAAAGAGTGCATATTAGAAATGAATTAAGTTAATGTGTCATACATTAAAAATATAGGAGAGAGCAATTGAACATAGGTTAAGATATGATACAAACATTTCTCATAACCAATTTTGATTTATGTCGAGCAAGTCTACCCTAGACGCTATATATTTATTGAGAGATTTTATAAAGAAGCACGAAGAGAGTAAGGAGGATCTACATATGAGTTTTATTGATTTAGAAAAAACTTACGATAAGGTTCCAAGAGAATTCCTTTAGAGCGTTCTAGAAAAAAATAGGTGTTGATATGACTTATATTGAATTCATTAAAAATATGTATGCTAGACTTGTTACTTGTGTTCAAACAGAAAGAGAATTGACCGAGTATTTTCCTATGTCAGTTGTACTACAAGGATCAGCTTCATGCCAATATCTTTTCATTTTAATTACGGATAATGCTACAAGACATTTAGAGCAGGATGTACATTGGTGTATGATTTTTGCTAATGATGTCATTCTTGTGGATAAGAAAAAAAGTTCAAGAAAAACTTGAATTATGGAGGTCTACCATTGAAATCTAAAGGTGAAATCTAAAGGCCTTCAATTGAGTAGGTCTAAAATTGAATACATAGAATGTAATTTTAGTAGTGACAGATCTAGTGCCTGAATTGTAACTATGAGGGATTAAATCATTAAAAGACGTGAACGTTTTTGATATCTCAGGTCCATTGTTCAAAGTGATTTTGATATAGATGAATATGTTATTAGAAGAATTCAAGTGAGTTGGTTGAAGTGGAGGAAAGCATTGGGCCTATTGTTTAACAGAAAAAGTACCGCTTAGACTTAAGGGGAAATTTTATAAGATGGTGGTGAGACCTGCAATGTTTTATGATGCAGAATGTTGGCTTTTACAAGAGTAAGCATAAAACTATGTTGAGTGTTTTTGAGATGAGAATGTTTAGGTAGATGAGTGGCTTGACACTTAGGGACAAAATGTGAAATGAACGTATTCGTGAAAGGGTTGTTGTAGCTCCAATGGCGGACAAGATTAGATAGTCGTCGTAGAAGGTTTGGTCACATTAAACATCGATTATCTGATGATCCAGTTAGGAGACTAGATGTTTTAAATTTAACTTAAGAAAGACAGAGATAAACCTAAAAAAATTTAGGCATATTGTATAATAAATGATCTTAATTTATTAGAATTAAAGGAAAATATGACACTTAAATAGGGCACAATGGAGAAAATGATTCATGTAGTCGACCCCACTTATTGGGGTAATGAATACCATTATTGTTGTTGGTAATCTAAAATGAGGAACATTTTAGATATCTCGGGTTTATTATTCAAAGTGATGGTGACATTAGTAGAATTCAAGTTGGATGGTTGAAGTGGAGGAATGCATCGGGCCTATTGTGTGATAAACATGTACCGCTCAGACTCAAAGGAAAATTTAATTAGATAGTGGTGAGACCTGCAATACTTTATGGCGTGGAATGTTAGACTATAAAAGAGAAGCATAAAACTAAGTTAAGTGTTGTTAAGATGAGAATATACTTACGTGGATGTTCGAAACAAAATGTGAAACGAATATATTCGTGAAAGGTTTCTAGCTCCAGTGGAAAAATAGATTCAAGAGAGTCGTCTTAGATGGTTTGGTAACATTAAATGTCGACCATCCGATGACCCGATTAGAAGAAGAGATGTTTTAGATTGAACTTATGTTAAGAAAGGTAGACGTAGACCTCAAAAAAAACTTGGGCATGTTGTATAAGAATTGATTTTAATTCATTAGAATTAAATGAAAATATGACACTTAATATGACATAATGGAAAAAAGGAATTCACTTAGCCGACCCCACTTATTGAGATAAAGGCTTGTTGTTGTTGGTAATTTAAAATTTCAATGCAAGGAGACCTCAAAATTATGACTTCAATATAGTGCCACCTTAAGCAACATTGGAATTACAATAAATCATACATGTCATAGATCTAGAATACAGTAAACTTAAACCAAGAAAAATCGATAAGAATTCAAAGAGAACATAAGGGAAATTGGATGCTTAAAATTATTAAAATCAAAATACATGCATCAAACAAAATAAAGTTAAAAAGGTTTTAGGCTGTCTAGAATTCTAAACGGGCTAGAGAACAGAGAGTACTAACCATTTGTGGCTAAAGTAATGATATAAAAGCAATAGTAGCTCAGCAAAGTTGAAGCTTGTCCATCACTCCATTTCTTTCCATAAAGTAGTCTCATGAGACAATATGAGTAACTTGGGCCAAAAGCAATGGCTACAAGACCTACAATGATTTAATAATACAACAAAATAGATGGCAAAGAAATTAGATGAGATTAAAAAAAGGGACATTTACATACATACCACCCAATTCCTATGTATTTATATATCCAACACCTAAACTTACTTTTTACATTAGATCACCCAATTTTTTCATATCACATCAAAAATACCACTATTTTAACTTTAAAAAAGTGAAATGTACTTTTTCATGCATATAGATAAGGATGTCAGCCAATTTGGCCTAGTGGTTGAAAGCTTTGTCTTTCAATCAAAAGATTTCGGGTTCAAGGCCTTATATATGCAGTATGCATGTGAAAAAAAAAATGCATGTGGAAGGATGCATAAATGTAAAATTTGAAGTTGAGGTATTAGATCTGTAAATACATAATAATTGAGTCGTATGTTTGTAAGCCTTCCTTTACAAAGTAAAAAATCATTAAGCTAACTATTAATGAGATAATCAACAATACATAAACCAAAATTTGTGCTAATTTTTCCATATGTTGAGCTCATAAATGGTGTTTAGATAAGTTTAGGCGTGTTTAGTTTTCTCTGTTTGAATTACTAAAACAGAATGAACACAAACAAGCCATAACAAGCAGAGCTGATGCTATCCGACCGATTCAACTAGTTTTATTAACAGCAATAATGCCCAAAAGTATTAAGACCATAAGACCTTCAACAATCTGTTCTCATCCTTTCCACCCCTAGAGGTTTGCATAGATGGACATTCAAAAATCCAACAGAGCACAAGAAATATTACTAAATCATATAGTTTTCGTAGCACACTTAAATCTAAACAAATAACATTTCAAATAAAGATGTTGACAAAAGGGGCAAGTAATTCTAAAAGCATACCAATCAATGATACAAGCTTCAATGCATCTGTTAATGAATTTGCTAACACAGTGATCTTTTGGGGGGAGTCTCCTGTTCAAGAAGAAACATGAAAAGTTGGTTCCTGCATAATAAGAATGACTTGAAGATTATGACAGTTATTGTCACATCTAGCATCAGAAATAAATTTTGAAATACAGAGAGTAAAGAGTCTATATACAACTAAAGACCATCCAACATTAATTAAGTACAAACAAGAAAAAACACAAACCACATAATAAATATTAAAGAAGCTTAAAAATCAATTTTGAAAATCATTTTTAGGCCTTATTTGGTAATGATTTTAGCTGCTGATTCTGCCTTTTAGGATGACAGAATTAGTTTTGGTTGTTTGGTCTAGCAGGATTAGCTGTTGTAGTTCACAACTCAGTTTTAGGTCAGTAGGTTTCTGGAGAAGCCTTTTTTCAAATTTCAGCATTTTCCACCATTTTAGTGATGAAAATACACGACCCAACCCCCTAAATAGTGTTAGTTAAACAATATATGGAAAAATAAATAAATTATTTGATTTATTTAAAACTAATAAAGCTAATTAATAAGATATTAACTAGTAATGTAATTCATCATTATCATCTTCTTTATAACAACCATTAGGGTTTTCAATATGAATAATCAACTTTCATTTGTTTGCATTAAATCTACACCTCGTAAAGCATTCAGAACAACTTCGATGAATGCAATCTCAGGTATATGTTTTTTTTAATATCCAATATTAATTTTCTCAGCTCATCTAATATACATAATTTTCACCTTTTAGTTGCAAAGTTATAAATCACCTTAGTTTATATTCAACCAATTATCTTCAAAAAATGCCACCCAACTTTTTTTATAAAGTAATTATTTCTATACTTACCTTTTCTAATTTTTCCACATCTATCCTGACATTTTCATTTCTATCAATCTCAATTTAAATATTGATGAATTTTTCATAGCCCGACATTGGAATATATACATCGCCGACTTACAATTTTATAGAATTTACCGTTCAAGTCTCAATGACGTCCTCTTATCATGCAAGACACCCAAGATACTTAAGTTGAATCAGTTTCTATAGAAGGTATATCACTAAATCTCTACTTATTTGTATAACAAATCTAAGATAATTAAGCCAATTGCACTTCAGCATTTAATCGTCTAACAATATTAAAAAATAATTGATAACAGAATGCTCATTCAAATTATATATCACACTCGTCTTTGTTCTAGAAATTCTAAGACGTGTTTCTAAACATTTCTTTTACTGTTCTAATTTCTAAAATTTCAATGAATGACATCAATTAGGACTACATTGAAAAAAGGCATAAAGCATACATTAAGACAACTAACTTGGGATATCCATTGTAATAATCTCCATAACTACTAAGAAAATATATGAAGTTAATGTTAATATTTATATAAATATGGGCTCTCAAAGAGAATAACATAGATGGCAGAATGGCAATAGAAGAATCGAGAGAAGTCTACGTTGAAAAGCAAAGAGTGGGTCTCTACAGAAACTCTAAAGAAGACAATATGAACAAAAAAGCAAGATTTCACCTACCTAATCGATTGTATCATAGTGGGTTTATTTTGATTTTCAGGGGTCTAGCTTCTCATTGATATGAGCCCCAATGATTAATGTATGGAACTCAAAGAATACTTTCAATTAAGAGTGATTGTTCATGTCCTTTTGAGATTCATTGTGCGTGTGTCCTAGTGAAAGTGACTAGTAACATAAGCAATAATGAAATAAATAAAAATTGTAACTATATTCCTGGACGTAAGCAAGTAAAGCAACATAAACATGCTGAATAAATAATTTTATTATTGCATAAATGAGTAAATAATTTACAGCAAATAAGGTTATATCGAATTATAGGTTAACAACAAGAACATGTAAATCCTAGGGCTAATATTTACAAGGAAATGAACACAAAGGCGAACATGTTGGAAGAGAGGACAATCAGATGGCCGACCTCTTGTGAACCATTGAGTAAAGAAATTTCCAGTAACCCATGTGGGTTAGAAGGGCATATCACCTAGGGTTAGAAATTAACCAATGTAAAAAAAAATCTATTAATTGGCTAAGAGATGTCAGTCTTTTCTAGCTTGAAAAGGCAACGACACTAATAAGTACAAAAATGACCTAAAGGAATATCAAACAGGAGCACGTAGAAGATAAAAAAGGGTAAGAAAATGTGCTCGGGGTATTATCTCTTGTAGGGTTATGACTGCAAGGCTCAATAAACAAGAGTAATGCACTGAGAAGACGACATATGACATCTAGAAATTACTGTGAGCTAGGTTGACTGCTACAGAGCAGAATTCTTCTATGTGGCCTCCTTGAATCATACAGGGAAGACCAAACCAAGAAAGGAATGGTGAACTTGCCAACCCAAAATCAATCGTGTTGGTAAACCATAGAGGAAAGCCAGGCCTGTGCTGATGTCACATTTTTTATTGTCAGTAAAACATGAGGATAGGAATATCATGTTGTTAGATAAAAGAAGATAAAGATGTCAAAATTTAGCCACCAAAAGGCAAATTTTGGTGGGATCTACACACCTTGCTTGGGGATAGCAAAAAGATACATTGAGATGTCAAACTTTAGTCTACTTGAAGTTGGCCATAAAAATGCGGTGCCTAAAGGATGTCTCCATGAGAGTGCTTGTTGAGTTTTTGGCAGTTATGGTCAACAAGAGAATAGGCAAGGGATCAACCAATGGATAGGCTAAAGTTATCCACCATGTCGACTGAGAGACATCAACAAGACAACACTAACACTTCCAGCAAAGATGTCAGGAAACTCATATGCAAGACAAACGCATAGGATATGTCGACCAATGTACAACCAGTCATCAATCGAGGTCACAAGAAGGCATTGGACAAGATAATGGAGGGATTGCCTAAGGGCTGAGTTAAAAAGGAGGTTAATAAATAAGGCCCCAACATGGATGGTCTTTAACGGGGAGCATTCCTCATGTTTAGGGACCAACACTTTACATTTATGTAGAGATTTACATAAGTATATTATTTGAAGCTCCCCAACTATACAACATTCACAAAAGCTTGTGCCCAATAGACTTCAAATATGGTAGCCGCCATTTTGAATGAACAACATTTATTCCCTGCTTATTTATATGTCTGAGCCAACGCTGTCACAAATCAAAATTTACAGTGGAATGAACAACAGCCATATCTCCACAACTGAAAATCATGGAAAGTGTTCTGATTTTTTTTCCTGAGTAACCAACATGGCTCTCTCGAGTGTCATTCTAACCACAACAATTCATAGTTAAATTATACTTCTCCTCATGAAACTGCACAACTGAAATGAAGTTGTGTGAACTCAAGCACATGTCTCACCTTTTGGATCTTCCAAACCATCCCATCAATCATTTTTTAGCTGATGACATCAACACCAACAATATTCAAAGATTAACCATTAGCAAGATAAACAATTCATGATCAATGCCAAGGATTAATAGAGCATTCAACAAAAAAATATCAAAGCAATTTGTACCTCTTAGGTGATTGTATTCAACACATCATAATTCCTACCATTATTCTTCCTTAATGCTCTATAGTTCTTCAAGTGACGAGTCTGCTCACAATTATAGCAATCCACATTCCATTTATTCATGAATTCACTTCAATCATTATTTGATTTTCCCTTGTTATCATTACCCTTGTTGGAACACATCTCAAACTTATGCCTTCAAACATTTAAAGCAGAATTTGGTGTTGAAACTTATCCAAAATGTCTCCTTCAAACCTCCTTTACAAGAATGGTATCACAGACATTATCAAACTTCAATTTTGAATTCCTCATAGAATTGCTTACAACAGTCATCATATCATAAGATCCCAACTATTTGGTAAATTCAATAGAGTTATGGTACATACCTCATCATGAAATAGAATCCCCGTAGAAACTAAATGATTCACAATGATGCTGAACTTATTTGGGTGTTGCCCCACCCTCAACCAACTTGATCAATTAATTTTTCATAAAATATATTTTGTTGCATGTTAAGCGTTGCTCATATCCAGCTAATTCATCAAACCACAATGGTCTTAATCTCTTTCATATTCTTCGACAATGTCAAACGGACCACTCCTAGAACCAATCTATCAAGAATATTTCACTCATCATCTTTCAAGTCTTAGCTTTTGGTTCAAGAGCAATGCATTTTCTTAATATTAAGATAATATTAGATATGCATCCTCCATAGTGCTAAGTTCAAAACATCAAACTTAATGATTCTATGGTGACACCTACTTCAATCATCATCCTCAAGGTCTGTTTGGGGCAGCTGCAGCTTATTGAATAATCTGCTGATAAGCTGATTAAAAATAATCTGCTGATAAGTTAGGTGCGATGACTATTACAAATTTTTATTTTTTTGGAAAAGTCAGACTGCTGACAGAAAGTTCCCACCGCACCTAGATAGATGAGGTGCGGTGTGAAAACGTTGTTTTCAGCGTTTCTGCCAAAACGCAGTTTACCCAAACAGGTCAGGTGCGTTTTCAAAAAGCCACCGCACCAAAAATGCTGTCCCAAACGAACCCTCAATCAAAACTAAATGCATTGATACCAACTGCCTGAGATAGACAAAACTTATACAGACATAGAGCTAAAAATAGAAAAACAAAACGAAGATGAAAAAACAAAAATTTTATATAGGTTCACCCAATTGATGGTCACTTCACATTATCATCACAAGCATATTTCAGTGTGAATTTATTATGGAGAAAAGAAACCATAATTTCTCTTGTATAACACAAAAATCTCTCTCTCTCTCTCTCTCTCTCTCACACACACACACTATGAAAAAAACCACTAGAACAAAAAAATACAGAAAAATTTTCCAAAATGATCTTAATCAAGACCCACCAACTAAATCCTTGTGGCATATTATTCTACGTAGGTAAAAAATTAACAATACCTTCAGGCTAATCTCTTCAATATGTTTTTCCTTCGTTAAACTACGAATATCATAACCCGTGTCTGAAGCCTACAACATACCCTCCATGTCATTGTTTTCAAGGCA